GTAGTTGTCGCTGTGAGCGCGGCTGACGGGAGTGCTAGATGGAATGCCTGGAATTTAAAACAAGACAAACTGTCAGCAGCTGTGTTACATACACTTCGAACATGGAAACAATACAGGAAGAAATTATGACAAGCAGCCAACCAAGTGAGTTTCCTCAGAAATCTCATGATCGTAAGGTATTTGGAACGACCTTTGTTGATGATGTGGCAGGTTGCCTGGTTATCTGAGTAGCAACGTACTGGCAAGTTTGCCCATAAATGACCCCATGCTACGGCAGCCGCCACGATGGGATGGATCTCAAAGAGAGCTGAGGTAGTGGAAAAACCCTCCAAATCCTGAACTGCTGTAGGTCAGCTGCCCCAAATCCATTCGTTCCCAAAAATTGCTGCAAAACCTGTGGTAGATGCCGCATCTGACCAAATGGTAGGTGATGAGTCAGTCAATTGAGGGAGGAACATACTTTTACCATTCCAAGTGGTTAAAAATTTCTTCCACATGCATAAGTCTGCCGTAGCTTGGGTATCTAAGGACAACCTGTGTGTGTCGAGTAGGAAGAGTGGAAATAGATACAAGAGTCGTGATATGAAGGAACGGCCTTGAGGTATGATATGCATGGCAAAATTTAGAGAACCCAGCAGGGACTGTAGCTCTTTGCGGTTGCAAGTACTGAGCTGAAGGTAGTGGTTGATGTAGGTAAGAATGTTTCCCATCTTGTCATGTGGCAGGCTTGCTTGCATTGTGGTTAAGTCTAATTGAATACCCAGGAATGTGATAATCGTGTCTGGCCCCTCAGTTTTCTTTGGGGACATTGGGACACCTAGCTGCTCGAATAGCTTGGTGGTAGCTTTGAGGCTACTGGGAGGGGAAGTGTTATCTTCGACCAGTAAGAAATCATCCAGGTAATGTAATACAGTAGGGCATCTGGCTATGTTCAATAGTAACCAGCACAATGCTTCGGCAAATGTGTCAAAAATAGCAGGGCTACTTTTGGACTCAAAAGTTAATCGGGAGAAAAAGTAGTAGTTCCCGGACCACTTGATGCCATGCAGGTGCCACAGTGTAGGGTGAATTGGCAGCAATTTAAAGGCGTGAGTAATATAGGTCTTACTAAGCCATGCTCCGACCCCTGCCTGTATGATAGCTGTAATGGTGTGATCTATGGTAGTGTATTGCAGGGAGAATTCTTCGGAGGGTATGAGGGAATTGAGACTGGGGTTAGCCGATAAGTGTGGTGCAGACAGGTCAATAATGAGTATTTGTTTAAGGGAAGAATTCCCTGTGACAATACCAATGGGGTTAGTGCGCCATTTGTTGAACGGAGGAGACTGGAAAGGCCCCGATAAGAAACCTTCAGCAACTTCCTGAGCTATAAGAGTGTCAACAGCTGTGGGGTTGTGCTGTGCGGATTGTAGATTAGGGCATTCCAGAATCCCGGACGGTATGTGTAGAATACCCGTGTGGAAGCCTTCTGTTTAACCAGAAATAAGAAAATCTACCAAGTGTCTAGACGGGTGATGTGACAGAAATGTTGTAAATACCGAAATGTTAATGGACGTTAGGTACGGCTACATTTTATTTGGACACATGGTTTTGGCATGTGCCCTAAAACATTTTAAACAGATATGCAATAATCTACATCTACTATAATTACAAGACCCGACATTGAAATTATTACATATCTGGGACTTGCCCAGAAACTTGATCGGGCGTCCCAGTTTGTCTCTGGTTACTTTCTCTGAAACACCAGAGGATATAGCTCCTTGCGTGGAAGCATGTTCGTCCGCCGTGTTGGGACAGAAATTTGTCGTATGCACCGTAGAGGAGCAGTATGCACAAGCCGGTGTTCTTAGACCTGCAAAGTGTCTGCAAAATATGACGGTATCAATCTTACCTCAGTTGGATCTTGTTCCATACTGGGAGAAGGCCCCAGACACTTTTGCAGAAAAAGACCTATGGTAGTCATAGAAGGCTGATCCACCATATTTGTTGCCCAGGTCTACCAGCTTGTGCATATAAAGATCAAACTCCTCTCGTCTATTGGGATAGACTGCACAGATGACGTCCCGGTAAATACCAAAAGCTAGTACAAACTCGGGAATAGTCAGTTTCCTGTTTAGGCGGGCGTCCCTAGATTTGACCACAACAGACACATCATCATATGCATAAGTCTTATTTTCCACGATATCCTGGGAGGCAATCAGCAGAGAAGCCAGGTTGACGTCTTTACCTTCCAGGATATCTCTTTTTAGGTGCTCAGGGATCATATGAGCAGGGCTAACTTCCTGGTCCTCCTGGGTGAACGCTGGAGCAACTAATAGCAAGTTGTTATTACCACCTTCAATTCCATGCCACACACACATCAAAATCTAGAGGGGTATCCCTACTATTTCATAATTCCCTAACGGTGTAACCGCTCTGAATCAAAAAAGATAGCCAGGGACGATTTGTAATACTACATTGTCTAGTTAACAACAACCCCATAGTGCTGGTTGGTATATACAGCCCAAACGACCAGCAATGCAACTTTCTACACAAAATCTTTAGTAAACTACCCGCCGACATCAATGCCTCTGTACTAATCTGTGGGGATTTCAATCACACAATGGACTCCCGAATAGACTCAACAGCCCCTGCCACATCCAACAGACACCTCACACTAAAACAACATAACAAAGCAATAACAAAACTAATACATACCCAGGGCCTATATGATGTTTGGAGGACAATCCACCCGACAGCAAAAGAATACACATTCCACTTACAGGTCCACAAAACCTATTCAAGAATCAGCCACATCCTAGGCTCAGGCAAGCTTCTCCCGCAAATCACAGAATGTACCATAGGAAACTTTGTGTGGTCGGACCATGCACCCCTCACCTTAACCATACAAGACCTCTATCAGCACCGAGGAAGACCCCCATGGCACCTTAATGACACACTACTGAACGACACAAAGTTTACAACACAACTAACACAATGCTTTGAGCTCAACGACTCTAAGGAGGTCTCTGCCACATCTATCTGGCAAACCCACAAAACAGTCATGAGGGGTGTACTGCTCAGCCGCGCATCTTATCTTAAGAAGAAATGTGAAAAAGAACATATGGACCTCCTGAGAAAGCTATGAGACATAACGAATGTGCATCTCCTGAACACATCCAACTTGCTGGCCAAAAACATTGCAGATACTGCTAAACAGATTAAAAGCCTAACATTGAATAAGACGGTCCATATGTTAACCAAATTAAAGCTGAAAACATATTCTCAAGGCAACAAAGCCGGGAAACACTTAGCAACATTACTAAGGCAGAAACAAGCCAACTCCAATATCCCATACTTACTCTATCGAACAGGTGACCAAATCCACAATCCCCAAGATATTAATGATGAGATGGCCGACTACTATAACAAGCTCTACAATCTGAAAAATGACTCTGAACTGCACCAACCCACGCAACAAGAAATCAAAGTCTTCCTCCACACGACTACGCTGCCCACATGATCGGCTGCCCACAAACAAGCCATACAAGACCCTATCACAATACCAGAAATAATAGACTCAATCCAGGCGCTCCTACCCGGGAAGTCACCAGGCCCAGACAGATTAACCAATCTTTACTATAAAAAATTTGCAACAATACTTGCCCCACATCTACAGAACCTATATACCCAAATCCTTGCATCCTGAGATTTGCACAAAGAAATGCTGATGGCACATGTGGCCACACTCCCCAAACCGGGCAAACCACCCAACAAAAGCCAAAATCTCAGATCCATATCTCTACTAAAGACAGACGTCAAACTCATAGCCAAAATCTTCTCCAACAGACTAGCACCTGTTATCCCAACACTCATTAAGGAAGACCAAGTGGGATTTGTGGGAGGTAGACAGGGAGCAGATGGCACACGTAAATTCCTAAACTTACTATACGAGATTAAAAAGGGGAAAACCGCGAGCATCCTACTATCTCTAGATGCAGAAAACGCCTTTGATCGGCTACATTGGCCCTTTCTAACGGCAGTCCTTCAAAAATTTGATTTCCTACCCCAATTTCTGACCCTTGTCAAGGCACTCTATTCGTTTCCAACTGCAAGAGTAGTGAACGAGTAATTAATCTCAAAACCATTCTCAATCTCCAACGGTTCTAGACAAGGATGCCCACTCTCTCCACTACTCTACATACTGGCACTGGAACCCCTGACCCAATGAATAAGAGAAGATCCGAACATTCATGGAGTCCGGGCCAATGGACAAGAATATAAACTGTCATTGTTTGCAGAAGACATTCTCCTAACCTTAGAGCAGCCACACATATCCCTCCCAAATTTCAACAAAATTCTCACCAATTATAGTCAATGCTCCTACTACAAAATAAACATAGCTAAAACCCTCGCCCAAGGAGTCAATATCCCTGCACAGAACATGCAACATCTACAAACCAACTTTACTTATGTCTTATGTCAGGACTACATAAAGTTCCTAGGCATACATTTCACACCCACACCCTCCAAACTATACAAAGCACCCTACCTTAGACTCAGAGGTGAAATCCAAAATACTCTATATGGATGGAAGGGGACATTTATCTCATGAGCAGGGGGAATAGCCTCAATAAAAAAAATTCAAAGATTCAGTATCTATTTTGGACACTTCACCAATCAAACTCCCGAAAACATATCTGCAACACCTCCTAAACAACTTTGTATGGGAAAACAAAAACCCATGGGTAGCCAAAGATACCATGTACAAACAGTTCAACAAAGGAGGAATGGGCATGTCGGATGTAATGGGATACTACCTAGCTGCCCACATTGCACCACTGCTAGCTATTCCACACTACAAGTACAGACAACATGGTTCAACTTAGAAAATAGCTACACGAACGGCGATCCCTTACTGACATTGGCCTGGCTACAAAGATCCCAAAGACCAAAATACATCAACATGCTACCCACGACTGTCCTCACCCTCTCCCTATGGACAATACTACAGAACAAAGATGAGCAACACTGACTTGATATCACCAACTCTACCGCTGGAAACAATAAAATTCCACATCACAAACTTCAACTATAGACTCTGGCACAGGCACGGGATAAGAACAATGTCACAACTAATGCAAGGCTCCAAACTAAAACAATTCACAGAACTCAGACAAGAGTTCACACTACCAACCACAGCCGCATACTCCTTCATGCAACTGCAGTCCTGGTTCGCCCAACAACCTAAACACAAACCCTCAAAGGCACCTAACCCAATGTGGAAACATGTGGAACAAATCTGCAAAGCAACCAAACCAGCCAATAAACTCATATCCACAATCTACATCTCAGAACACACCAAACCTCCAAAAACTCCACCTTCCTTCATATCAGCATGGGAAAAAGACGCTTGACACCCATTATCTGACACCCAGTGGCAAAACATCTTCAAAGCACACAAATCACCAACCCTATGCACAACCCATATAGAACTGTCCTGTAAATTACTGCACAGATGGTACCTGGTCCCCACACGCCTTAAACACAGCTTTCCCAACACATCAGACGTCTGTTGGAGATGTCAGAAAGACTGAGGCACAATGATATACATATGGTGGCACTGCCCAGCACTTATACAATATTGGCAACAAGTAGCAACTCTGGCAGCCAAATGCACTGACACCCAACTACCCTTAATACCTGAAACATTCTTACTCCTCCTTCTACCACACACACCACAAAAACACCAATGATACCTAGCATACCACATCATCATAGCATCCCTCACCGTCATAAGCAAGCAATAGAAACCTCCCCCCCCCCACGATCACCCAATGCATTACAGCTGTAGAAACAAACAAGTGCTATGAAATCATGGCAAGGAACACACGGCAAACAAGCCCATACAGTCATAAAATATGAGCACATACTACAACCAGTAACATTGGTCTCCTCGACCGGAGGCAAAACAAACTTCACAACCCCAAGACCCGAATCTGAACACAAAAGAAAGAGACACATGAACTGACATAGTTAACTCGCACCACCGCAAAGAAGGACCACTCCAGCTATTGACACTATGCAATAGAAGCAACAACACTCCAAGGGCCTTCACAACCCACAAATGTAACTACTGTAGAGAAGGTGAAAAAATTAGCAAGATTACCAATCATGAAACGTAGGAATCTTGCAGAATGGATTGTGGGATGCTTTACAATGTTTTTTGTACAATGTTTTGTACAATGTTCTAATCGCAATACAATGTATTTCATTGATTGATTCACGCAAACTCCCCCTCCCCCTATTCTCTTTTGTACCCACTCCCCCTAAATATGGTTGGAAAAATAAAAATTGTCATTCAAAAAAAATAATTACTGTCATTAATTATGTACTCACCAAGTCATGAAACATCCAGCCCATCATTGTGTAATGTATCTCTTAGTTTGGTGTCCTCGTATGCAGGGCCTCAAAAGGGGGAGTGGCTAGGGTTATGCAGGTGTCATGCATACTCTTAACAGTATATAACATGATATTAAAACTAGAGTTGAGCAGACACCTGGATGTACGGGTTCGCCGGGTACGGCCGAGCTTCGGCAAAAAGTTCGACTTCGGAACTCGAACTTGACCCGAACTTGACCCCGATCCCCATTGAAGTCAATGGGGACACAAACTTTTGGGCACTAATATGGCTCTAAAAAAGTCAGAGAAAGGACTAGAGGGCTGCAAAAGGAAGTAAAATGTATTGCCTAAGTACCAATATACTTACCCAGTGGAAGAAGAAGAATGTTACACTGTATACAGTTTTAAATAACAAGTATACAAACATAGCCAGGATTCAGCTGAAAGCATTTGCAACACTTACAACAATCAAGTAACACACATTCATATAAAATGTAAATTATTTGGCCAGTCAATGCAATGACAGGAATGAATAAGTAGATAACTCCCTTATTTCCACGGTATTAGAGAGCTATCTACTAAAAGGCTGAAAGACCTCAATTGGTCTTTCAGCCAAATTTACTAATACTAAGTAAATATTATTTAGTATTCATAAATTATGCCCCTACTCGCTATACCGCAAGTAGGGGCATGTCTATTAAACAGTGAGCAGCCTATGGTATTTAGGGCCCCCACCCACCGCTCAGGGGTGGGGGCAAGGGGAGGACATTAGGTCTTTAACGGACCGTTTTGCCCACAAGAGGTTAAAAACCGTTTAGGCGATATTCCCCTCTCAGATGCACAGGCAGCTACTGCAAGCACCAATTTCCCGAACTGCAGACACACGAATTCACCAACTCCCGAACAGGAAACACACGAACACTGGAAACAGCCGAACAGCAAAAGCATACACTCAGCTTACACTCCTGGCAATTGGCATACAATCCAATTCCCCCAATAACGAGACGACACTTCGTTTTGAGGGTCAAGCAGAATCTGGTTTACTGGGGCTAACTGCCCGGCTTTTATGCAGGTCTCCCACCTGGTGGACACTCCCCTAGGGGACCAGATGAGAAACTGGGAAACATATTGGCCCTTAGCCAATCACATACATACACCTTTAAACACTCCCATAATTACATCACAATCCCTCCTCTCTGTCCTGGAGATAATTGGGAAGTAATCCAATTATCTCCAAGGACAGAGGCAAAACTCCATTACACACATTTTCAGTAAAAGACATAAAATTACACACAGTCACATTTATTACATAAAACATATACATCCTACCTATCCCTAGATAGCTTAGATCTGAACGCACATTACTACGGAATGGTGCTCAGATCACATACATACAGTTCAATGGCCATGGAGCCAAAGTCTTTCACATAGTCTTTCGTTACACAAATAGGCTCCATGGCTTAGCTATCTGGGTGATGCTGTTCATCTGCTTAAACTACCCAATGAACAGTCATTCGATTCCGCTACCGAATGGGAAGGTAAGGAGGCTGGTGGCTCAGCGGTGTTCGCGCCAATAAGTGTCTGTTTTCAGTTCCATAGTTTGGGCGCTAAACACCGCTGGCCATCCGGGAGGTAAAATGGCCGCTGCCACGTGTTCGGCAGATGAACAAAGGCCACCCAGCATTCATCAATTAAGCTGCGGTTATCCGCAGCTTCTGGGCGGTCAATTGACGGCACACTCCAGTTCCCAGGTGGTCCATCGTTCGGTAGTTTGTTCGGTAGATTGAATCTACCGAACACCCCGGCAGAAAGGCACGAATAAACCTTTCGGTAAGGAAAATAACAGGGCTGAACTGCAGGGCCATAGTCTAAAGGGAGCAGGCGAGCAACCAGGCTTCTCCAGTGCATAGTGGCGAGGTTGGTTCCGCCACATTTCTCCCCTTTTCCAATCAGACTAACAGGGTCTGGTGTCCTCGTATGCAGGGCCTCAAAAGGGGGAGTGGCTAGGGTTATGCAGGTGTCATGCATACTCTTAACAGTATATACAGTATTGTTAGTACAGCAGCCCACCCAAAAAACAGAAACAGTAGTACAGCCCACCCACAATAAATGGTTACTACACCTGGGTAGAGGAGAAGCTTGTCCGTGTCCAGGTGCCTCACCATGGCTGTGCGGGGGACTGGTAGGCTGCCTTGGTGGGTTGCTGAGTGGGCAGAGACCAGCGGCACTCTGCCCTGGTGCCAGCGCTACCGTGGAAGTAGCCTGGTTGGAGCCTGGTTGCTGGAGGGTGAGACCGACTGTCTCCCCTTTGGATACACAGCTCTGCTGCCGGAGGGGGAGACCGACTGTCTTCCCTTTGGCTAAACAGCCCAGTCACTGGGGGGCAGGACCGACAATCCCTACCCCCTGTGTTGTAAGTGCAGAGACCACTGTCCCATCTGCACAGTTGTGGGGATTACTGTCTCCCCTGGGTATGTCAAGCTGCCGCTGGGGAGAGGGGGTAACCAGCTCCTCTCCCATATATCCTTCGAGCCGCGGGGGAGAGGGGGTAGCAGGCTCCCCCTCTCTCTGCTGGTGGAGAGGGGGACCGACTGTCTCCCCTTTCAATATATTGTCCTGCTGCTGGGGGGTGAGACCGCCTGCCTCATCTGTCCCATCTGGGAGAATAGGGTCTCCCCCTTGTGAACTAAGCTGCCGCTGGGGAGAGGTGGTCACCGACTCCTCTCCCTGGAACACTTTCAGCCTCTGGGGAGAGGAGAATATTATTGTTGTAATATGTTTTACATATAAATATAGAAACATAGGTACATATAATGTGACGGCAAATTAGAACCATTTGGCCTATCTAGTCTGTCCAATTTTCTAAATACTTTCATTAGTCTCTGGAATTATCTTAAATCTACGATAGCCTTATGCCTATATTACGCATGCTTAAACTCCTTCATTGTGTTTACCTATACCACTTCAGCTGAAAAGCTATTCCATGCATCCATTACTCTCTCAGAAAAGTATTACTTCCTGATATTATTTTTAAACCTTTGCCCCTCTAATTTAAGACTATGTCCTCTAGTTGTGGTAGTTTTTCTTCTTTTAAATATGGTCTCCTACTTTGTTGATTCCCTTTATGTATTTAAATGTTTCTATCATATCCCCCCTGTCTTGTCTTTCCTCCAAGCTATACATGTTAAGATCCTTTAACCTTTCCTGGTAAGTTGTATCCTGTAATCCATGAACCAGTTTAGTAGCCCTTCTCTGAACTCTTTCCAAAGTATCAATATCCTTCTGGAGAAACAGTCTCCAGTACTGCATACAATCCTCAGAGTGAGGGCTCAGCAGTGTTCTATACAATGGCATGAACACTTCCCTCTTTCTACTGCTAATACCTCTCCCTATACTACCAAGCATTCTGCTAGCATTTCCTGCTGCTCTATTACATTATCTGCTTAACTTTAAGTCATCTGAAATAATTACCCCTAAATCCTTTCCTGAGATGTTGATGTTAGGACTCTATCAAATATTCTATAGTCTGCCCTGGGGATTTTACATCCAAGATGCATTATCTTGAACTTATCCACATTAAATGTAAGCTGTCACAGTTCTGATCATTTTTCTTGTTTAGCTAAATCATTTGCCATTTGGTTTATCCCTCCTGGGACATCAACCCTGTTACATATCTTAGTATCTCAGCAAAAATATATAACTTACTATTAAGACCTTCTGCAATATAACTAATAATATTAAAATATTAAAGAGAACAGGTCCAAGTTCAGATGTCTGAGGTACCCCAGTGGTAACTAGACAATGCTTTGAAAATATTCCATTCACTACAACCCACTGTTGCCTGTCACTCAGCCACTGCCTTACCCATTGAACAATATAGGAATCCAAACTTAAAGATCGCAGTTTATTGGTAAGCCTTCTATGTGGAACAGTGTCAAAAGCCTTACTGAATTCAAGGTAAGCAATGTCTACTGCACCACCCTGGTCTATTATTTTATTTACCCAATCAAACAAA